TAATATTAATATTATACTGGTTTTTATGCATTTTTTGTTAAATCATACTGCTGGTTCGTGAACAAAGAATTGAGGAACTATTGGACAAGAACGAAGACAGCTAGCCAACAACGGCCACTGACAACTCTTGAACTACTTTTATTTGACGAAATATCAACATTTGTCTGTAATCTTATTGCGTACCGACAGCTCCAAATCACATTTTGGGGCAACGGGTCGCGAATCTTGAATCTTCCTTGAAAACAGTATTTCAGTGTCTGCAAGTGTATTGATGATGGTGTATTTTGTAAAAGTGAATCAATTATCAAAGTACTCCGTAATCGTACATAAACAATAATCACCATGTAACAAGAACGGGTTATAGAAATACGGTCAACAACATGAGGTGATTTGAGATTCATTTTAATGTTTTCGTAAGCAAAAATATTGACGTTTCGTGGCACTATAAATTGTTTATTGACTTCTTTGATTGAAATGTTTATCAATGTGCAACACTTCGTCCGTTCTAAGGTTTACAAATAGAAATCCCACTGAACTTTCTCGTTACATCATAATGAGCTGCATTATATCTTATAAAAAGGATGGTTGGAGTACGTAATGTTCCACAAATTCAAGGACAAAATGACACGCGAGGGATTTAGAAACACGGGATGTCCACTTACTAAGACGTCTTGCTGATAACTTGGATATTTTATGGTTCTAAAGATAATTCTGCTTATAAGATGAAAACACTAAGATAATGGGATGTCCACTTACTAAGATGTCTAGCTGGTTAAGGTTAAGGATGTTTTCGTTTGTTTGTTTTGAATTTCGCGCAAAGCTACACGAGGACTATCTGCGCTAGCCGACCCTAATTTAACAGTGTAAGACTAGAGGGAAGCCAGCTAGTCATCACCACCAACCGCCAACTCTTGGGCTACTCTTTCACCTACGAATAGTGGGATTGACCGTCACATTATAACGCCCCCACGGCTGAAAGCGCGAGCATGTTTGGTGTGACGGAGATTCGAACCCGCGACCCTCAGATTGCGAGTCGAGTGCTGTAGCCACCTGGCCATGCCAGGCCCATAATGGAATGTTCACTTACTAAGATGTCTAGCTAGATAACTTGGGTATTATAGGGTTCTAACGATAATTCTGGCTATAAGATGAAAATATTAAGATAATGGGATGTCCACTTACTAAGATGTCTAGCTGGTTAAGGTTCTAACGATAATTCTGGTTATAAGTTGAAAATATTAAGATAATGGGATGTCCACTTACTAAGATGTCTAGCTGGTTAAGGTTCTAACGATAATTCTGGTTATAAGATGAAAATATTAAAATAATGGGATGTCCACTTACTAAGATGTTTAGCTAGTTAAGGTTCTAACGATAATTCTGGTTATAAGATGAAAATATTAAGATAATGGGATGTCCACTTACTAAGATGTTTAGCTAGTTATGGTTCTAAAGATAATTCTATTTATAAGATGAAAATACTATAATAATGGGATGTTCACTTACTAAGATGTCTAGCTGGATAACTTGGATATTTTATGGTTCTAAAGATAATTCTGTTTATAAGATGAAAATACTATAATAATGGGATGTTCACTTACTAAGACGTCTAGCTGGATAACTTGGATATTTTATGGTTCTAAAGATAATTCTGTTTATAAGATGAAAATACTAAGATAATGGGATGTCCACTTACTAAGATGTTTAGCTGGTTAAGGTTCTAACGATAATTCTGGTTATAAGATGAAAATATTAAGATAATGGGATGTCCACTTACTAAGATGTCTAGCTGGTTAAGGTTTTAACGATAGTTCTGGTTATAAGATGAAAATATTAAGATAATGGGATATCCACTTACTAAGATGTCTAGCTAGTTAAGGTTCTAACGATAATTCTGGTTATAAGATGAAAATATTAAAATAATGGGATGTCCACTTACTAAGATGTTTAGCTAGTTAAGGTTCTAACGATAATTCTGGTTATAAGATGAAAATATTAAGATAATGGGATGTCCACTTACTAAGATGTCTAGCTAGTTAAGGTTCTAACGATAATTCTGGTTATAAGATGAAAATATTAAGATAATGTGGAATTTCTAAAATATCTCGTTGAATAAATTAAAAGGTTTAAAGTTTCAATCGCGATTCTGATAGTAAAATGAAAGGACTATGATAATTTTGATTTGGTGTTGAACGAAAGGCCTCGTCGGCACTGGATATAGCAGACATATTGTGGTTGACACTATTCTTAAACATTCTTCTTCGCTTTCTCTCATAAATTCTTAGAATTGAAAATGTAGGCTTCTCCTTTTGACGCTTCGGTTGTTTGACCTACTCTGGTACGTTAAGACTAACTTGGCTCGCCAGTTATTCTGAAGTAAAATTTGTTTAAGTTAATATTAATAACTGGTTTTATAATGAATAACTTACATTTTGTTATTAAACCTTACGTAAATTAAGATTTGTAAATGACTCATGTAAAACTGATAGTAATTCCACTTCACCAACGTAACCTAATTTACAACATAACAGTTGTTGTTCGTGTAATTTGGTAATACAAGTAGCATCTCAACATGTAGCGTGTCTATCGTATCCCAACCACTCTGATTAGCCCGCCCCCCAGTGGCACAGCGGTATGTCTGCGGACTTACAACGCTAGAAACCGGGTTTCGATACCCGTGGTGGGCAGAGCACAGATAGCCCTTGTGTAGCTTTGTGCATAATTAAAAACAAACAAACTGATTAGCCCTGATTTGGGATGAAAAATCTCTTCGTCATTGGATTTGGCAGACTATATGTGTTAGCCATAAATTCTTCTTTACTTTCATTCATAAGTTCTTAGAACTGCTAATTTATCCTATTCGTTAGAGATTTTAATGTCCCGACTTTCTTTGATATCAAGGTCTCTCATACACTACACCCTATAAAATTGTCAATCCAGGTTAACAGAAAGACATAATAATACTATTTGCTGAAAGCTTCCTTATGGAGGTTGGTAAGAGGTTTGTGTACTTCGATCTTAATTGTTTTAATTCAAGATTCAAGTAAGAATAGTTAAAAGCAGCATTTCTGTTTCACTTGTTGTATGGCACTGGCTGGATTACAACATAAAACGCTTTGAATTGAAATACTAATTGACCTCCAAGAGATCGTGTTGAAAGAAGTTTAAACTTAACTAATAGGCACGAGATCGTGTTCAAATGAAGTTTACACTTACTGTCTAGCAAGGAATCAATCATATTGAAACAAGTTTACACTTACTGTCTAGCAAGGATTCAATCACATTGAAACAAGTTTAGACTTATTGTCTAGCAAGGAATCAATCATTAATCATATTGAAAAAAGTTTACACTTATTGCTCTGTAAAGAATCAATCGTGTTAAAATGAAGTTTACATTTACTGCCCTATAAAAGAATCATGTTAAAATGAAGCTTACATTTACTGTCCTGTAAAGAATCATATTTTGCATGTCTTGGTGAAATGTCTCCCATGAATGCCTTTTAGAAGAATTATATTTCAAATACTCAATCCTGCCATTTATTTTCGTGATTTTTGTACGAGTAAGAAACTTGGGAAGATTAATTTTTAGCAATCTTGTTAAATTACGTTTAAAGATTTTAATCTCCATATTTTGCTCCATATTTCTAAAAGCGTTAATATTTCAATATATCGGAGATTTATGACTCATATTTTCGTTGAGATCAACTACTTCTAGCGTGAAAATAGATTCTTCACACGTTGTTTGTGTTTAAACAAACAACAAAACGCTAAGAAGAGCTATATTTCTAAGATACTTCTGTTTGTAGAGCTCCCTCTGTCCGTAAAATTCTGGCAAAGTAAAACATAATCAGAGCGCAAATAGTGTATAGATTAGAGAAAATGGGGGGTGGGATAAGTTATCATCTTTAATAATACAGGTTTGGGATCGTATATCAAGGTAGCACAATACTAACGGTACAGGCTTCTGAATCTGGGTTAATGACGTGTTCGCTAGCAGGATGAGCATAAACAAATGTGCTGTATTGCTTCCTCCAAATGGAGAAAGAGCACGTGGTCTGCATTTCCAAAATGCTAGAACTCACAGCTATATAAGTGAGAGAGAGAGGAAAGCACACAGATTTTGAACTTCTTCTAGATTGTGTTTAGAGCCACTAAAGAGTTTGAAGATGTTTCAAGTGGTAAGTTATTTTCGTTTATTGGGCCCGTGATATAACTTCTACCTACAGCACACAACTGGTTGTAGTATTCAGTGTGATCTAATATGTTTCAGGTGATGTCTCTAAAAGATGTTTATAATTTTATGTTTAGAGCCAAAGGTTTCCCAATATTTATTTAACATGAAGCAAATAAGATACTAGATAGTTTAATATCATGATTTATTTAAACAACTTCCCAGCGCAATAGGTTTCATTAACGTTATCTTCTTTCCAGTTGATCCTGACTTGCGTGATAGGATCTTCCTGGACGCAGGAGTTTTACCCAAATAAGCTTAACGTTCCCGCTAATACGGCTGTTCCGTATTATCATAAACCAGCAATAGTTCACAAAGTACAACTAGGTTCCGAACTACAAGGTGATTACAAATTTACCTATGACACCGGAAAAGGTCCTCTAGGTCAAAGTTACCGCACCGAGATGCGGCTCCCTGATGGGTCAGTGAAGGGATCATATGGTTATCTGGACCAGAATAACCAGCCAAGAATAGTAAGGTATTTAGCTGGCAAGGAAGGTTTTGTAGCCGAGGGAGACGTGGGGCCTGTGGACTCACCGCCCCCTGCCCCCAAACCCATTCCACATCATTTGGTTGCCAATAAGCCTCGTCAGTATCTTCCTCCACAACAGCGTGTTGCCAGTCAACCACCTCGTTACCTTCCTCCACAACAGCGTGTTGCCAGTCAACCACCTCGTTACCTTCCTCCACAACAGCGTGTTGCCAGTCAACCACCTCGTTACGTTCCTCCACAGCAGCGTGTTGCCAGTCAACCACCTCGTTACCTTCCTCCACAGCAGAGTGTTGCCAGTCAGCCACCTCGTCACGCTCCTCAGCAGCAAGTTGTACGTCCCGTCCTTCAACGTGATTTCGTTCCGGAACCTCAGTTTCATCTGGAGTCCCCTGAAGATCTTGGCCCACCTTTCATCGATACCTCTCTTCTCTCATACAACATCGGTACCAAACAAAGGACATAGAAGACCAAACCAGAAAACTTGAATTATATGGTCACTTAATATTGATGTACACAGGTTGATTAAAAGTAAGTACACATTTATCTTTAGGAAACTGTTTCATGTTATTAAAACTACAACAACAACAAGGTGCAGCATAAGGTGATAATAATACCATAATGGAATATACAATATAATAAAGTAGACCCATCACTGCCACGTGTGTACAACTTCCTTACTGGCCATAAAAGCCTTTGAACCCAATACATTCTTAAAACCTTCACAAGTTTACGAGCATAGATCTAACCGTGGTTAATGTGATAAGTCTGATGCTCTTGTTAACTATAGTCTGCCCCTCTATGGATCAACGATAAGTCTGGAGACTTATAACGCTACAAATCGAGCTTAGATACCGCGGTGGGCAGGGCAGAGATAGTCCATTGTATTGTCTCGTGCTGAACAACAAACAAACAAGCAAACCATAGTCTTCAGAGTAATCAATATTCTGTGATTTTGTTATACAAACACGACTACTTATGGCCATCCAGAAACGTATACATATAACAAAGTGGTAAATAAAATAACAACCTACGTCTCCAGAATGTATCTTTAGTAGCTCAATATTTCTCTATTACAGCAAAATTATATCTAGATATTCGTTATATCTAAACTGGAACACCGTCATCAGTAAATCGAACATCGATACGCGTGTTTAGGAAGTTCTGGTCACATTAGAATAATATCAAACATTCTTGACTTTAAACCATTGAAAAAACCAACAATGTTAAGTCAATAATGTGCAAACCAACAGGTAAACTATTATAATCATAGGGTTTATAATAGGATATGTTACGTAAATGAAATATCTCTTCATACCTGTATCTGTGAGTATTATTCCACCTTGTTGTATCTGACGATATATTCTAACCCTTATGGGTGTGTGTATATAAACTTTGTCAAAGTTCAAGATATTAAAATATTAAGAATGTTATGAACGTCTCTACACTAAAGACCACCGTTTTATATTTGTAGGTTTCTTTTTCTTTATTAAAATCGATTTTTTTAACCTTTTGGTCCAGAAAAACTATGACATTTAGACAAGATCTTGACATCCGATAAGATGTTATCCGCTTGTGATATTCCACGTTCTTTTTCATAATGTTCTACAATAGCATTGTTAGTATTGAGGTTGTGGATGTCATGCACATGTTCAGATATTGGATCATGTATGGGTCAGCAAATTTCCCCTATATACGTACTGGAGCATCTGCCACAAGTTACTTCATAAACAACGTTGTTACTATATCATCTATCCTGTAGTCCATATTTAGTAGCTTTACAGTTATTTTTCATACATCGTGTTTCTTTCTTATATGTTGAACTTGTTATTACTGATTTAATCACTGATGTTGTAAACACATGTGTTCTAATAGGCCTCGTTGGGACTGCTAAACTCTTTCATTTTTACTCATTCAGTATGTATTATAGGCCTCGTTAGGACTGCTAAACTCTTTCATTTTTACTCATTCAATGTGTATTATAGGCCTCGTTAGGACTGCTAAACTCTTTCATTTTTACTCATTCAATGTGTATTATAGGCCTCCTTGGGACTGCTAAACTTGTAT